GCCCCGGCTTTGATGGGGATGGGCTCGGAGGCCGACTCCTTCTTCTGTTCCTCTGACTCGTCATCTTTTTGCTTGAGTTTCTGCAGGTTCTGCAGCGCTCTCTGACCTCTTCCGGCCATTCCTATGCCATCAAAGACAACACAAACACAACAATCAAAACTTGTTTACTATTGACACGACTCTCAGTAACTGTGATCTCGTATTCAATATCTATTTCATATGCAATCAATAGACTGACGATAATAGCGGCCAAAGACTGGCTATAATTGAGTACAAAAGCGTCTGAAAGGGTCAGTGTTTTGCAGTTCGTCTGCAAAAGATGTGCACTTTTTATGGGCACAAGTTTGGCGCTCAACACTTCCGTACCATCAATGAGGTCTCCCATGAGAGCGCTCACCAATAGGCGCCTATAGGGCACAGGGGTCTCATTGGGCGCAACGATATTTATGACCACAAAACACACAACATATGAAAGCTATTAAATTTGATGCGATAAACGATAAACGTATCAAAAAACAAACATTCAAACCGTCAAACTGGACAAACAGTGGACACTCACACAACCACTGCCTCCACAGAGAGTTAACCGTAATTTATGTGACAATAAATGTTATTTAGTTTTCAAAAGTTGTAAATTTAGTTATATTTAGTTATATTTAGTTATATTTAGTTATATTTAGGAGTAAATTATAATTAAACGCTATTTAAATGTACAGAAATGTGTGTCAAGTGTTGTGCAATACATGCAAATCCAATGGACTGCTAGTGAGGCGCCCATTGACCACAAACGCCTATAATTATGGTCTGTTTTCAGTGATCAGTCAGAAGATAGCCAACTCTCTTGTGGTGAACTCAGCCAAAGATCAGCTCATACTATGGCACGAGTGGACGGGTATGTCGTGGAGCGCGGAGATAGCGGTCGTGACGATCGCCATCCGGGCGCTCATCACATTCCCTCTGACTGTGGGTCAGCACAAGATATTAGCCAAATATGACGCTCTGAGGCCAGAGCTGATCCAATTCGGACAGAGGCTCAAGAAGGAGGTGGACTCCGCTCAGTATCTGTACAACTGGTCACCCATTAAGGCTAAACTCATGTATAATCTTAGGGTTGGGACCTAACTGTCGAGACAATCGATGGCTAATCCATTGACACTATGATTGACTTCGTTTCAGATGAAACAGGAGACCAAACGACTGATAATTAGAGACAATTGTCACCCAATGAAGGGCTCGATCGTAGTGTGGGTTCAGATCCCCGTTTGGGTGATCCTCTCGCACGCCATCAGAAACATGTCTTTCATGTATCCGATCGCTGACCACAACTCGCAACTCATTCACAGCCAACTGTCCACTGAAGGCATACTCTGGTTCTCAAACCTCACGCTATCGGACCCTTACCTCGTGCTACCGTTCCTCACGGCTGTCGTCAACTTAACTATAGTTCAGGTGATTGTCTCGCAACTGATGGACAAACTCTTTGCCTCACTCTTTGTGTCACCAAAACGTCGACAGTGAGGGGTAGGGGTAGGGGTAGGGAAGGGTATAGTGTTATGCAATCATAGGTTTCAATTGATTAGTAAATAAAAGAGTTTTGGTGCGAAAAGTGTGATAAAAGTGTCACTATTTCTATGAATGACTGACTCATTGGAAACGAAACTCTCGTTTCAGTTGCACTCAAACGAAAGGCTCAGGAAAATGGAGACGAAGACCAAAATGCATGCAATCCTCACAAATGCAGCGCGAGGTCTGAGTGTGGCTCTCATCCCAATCGGACTCGTGATGCCAGCAGTGAGTGATAAATAG